TTATAAAAATTTTGCTCTCATAATCAATCCAGTCAAGAACTTTTTCCAACTCAATCTGACTAACAGTTTAACTTATATTTTCATTTTTATGAAACAAAACTGAGATAAAATGAATGAATTTTGTATACAGAAATTAATGTTGGTATATTTATTATAGACTTGCTCAAAAAACTGATAGCAAAGATCATTTATAATGTTTATGCACTTGCAATTTATCGTATGTGCAAAACTTGTAGTCTGAATAAGCACTTAATTTAATTATAAAGGTAAATTAATGATAACAATTTTTCACTGTTCTTTAATTTGCAATATGACTATTCTCCAGTTTCTTATTTGGGTTTCCTTGGTTTTTGATTTCCCATATGCTTCACGGACTTTCTTCAACAACCTGATCTGTTTTCGGTCTTCCATTTGCTTTCATTTACGATTCCAAGCTCAGTTTTTTTTCGTTGATCCTCCATTTCTTGTTTTGTAATGCGATCGATTAGCTGGCAGCTCAACCGCTCGGCAACTTGGTAAAGCCGAGCAATTTACATTTATATATATATATTTCTCGGCTTTGACGAAGTGCTGAGCGGCGAACTCAGGAGCTGTGTTCAAAAAGCATAAAATGAAGGGTGAAAAAAAAAAGTCCGCATCTGGAATTATAAATGAAAACAATGGAGAAAAATAGATGCGATTGAAAAATGCTATGTAAAGGGCGTTAGAGAACATAATGCTAGTGTACCATAACCGGCAGAATGATCACGCTTCAAGTACTCATCCATGGAATCGAAATTTCGCAAAACAGGTGGCCAGAAAAATGCTGAAAGCAGACCTTGACTGATTTGGAAGAATACTGAAAGGAGTTAAAAGACTTCAAAGCTACAAACCACGATATAAGACAGTTGTTATACAAACACGAAATTTACAAATAACCCGCATGGTTGGAAAGACTGTACCTGCCAAGGGACGTAAGACGTGGACTTCATAATGTTGAGCAGAAGAGTGAGCTTATGCTTCTCCAACTACACAATGCTCTTGTAGATACCGTACCTATATGCACCAGACAGCAGCGATTCTGAAGCAGGACAAAGCTCATTACACGTACTTGGCCATTATTGTGTTCTATTTAGAGACCTCGCAGAAAACCCTACCGTTGAAAACGTATTAGCAATCCGAAATGCGTTCTTGTATGGCAAAATCAAAAATGAAATTTGTCATGAAAGCCATATAAGATACGGAAAATCTCGTCGATAGCTAATTCATCAATGTGGCTACAATACGAAAACATTAGCCTGCAAGATGAGGCACGATACTGTAATCTGCAAGGTAGAAATATGTTTGGAAAGGTATGCTTCAAAATTGTAGGGAACATGTGAAGGCGATGGGCCATCGAGCGATGCAGTGCTAAAAAATGTTACATCATGACTATACTAGAAGACACAATGAGGTCCTACGATGCACCGAACTGGGACCCTGCAAGAAGTATGGTCTGAAAGCATTCTCGCGCTTGCGAAGTCATTCTTTTTAGAAGGTCATTTTGTCTTTTCGTTCAACTTTAAGGATTTAAAGAAAATTCTGAATCATAAAATTGAAGACAGTGAATAAACGCAAGTTGGTAAAATGGGCGTGAGTGTTATTTACTTTTGTGTGATAAGGAAGTGAAAAATGTTTTTTTCTGCTTCAATCTTTCCAGAAAACCAGTTAAAAGATTAGAATTAAAAAAGATGGTAGTTGCACAGAAGAAATGGCCAGTAATGGATAAAGCCAGTACATTTGCTAATTGTTTTGCAGTGAAATTTTCCTTAAGTATACTTCTTGCAGTCTTATCATTCTTGTAATCTGATCAGGAGTTAGATAATGCCATATTCTCGATTCTTGCGTTACATATTTAATTTCTGAACTTTTTTCACCAATGCAGTTTTTAGCAAACGTTTACTTTTTCAATGATAAATTAGTTTTTTCTCACAATATTGCTAAATTGTTTTCCAATAATGCAGGGTAAGGTCAAATTAATTCACTTCTCATGGAAAATAATCATTACTATTTATACACTAATATATTCATCTCTTTATTCATGCATTCATTCACTTATTCATCTACCTATCTATCTATTTATGTACTTATCTTATTTACATATCATTTGATATCTATTCACTTATTTATCAATATCTACATTTATGTACGTATCTACTTATCACTGGATTTTACGCCACTTACGAGTGAATTTGTCAGTTTCATCACATATAAATTGAACTCACATTTAATTATTTTATCTATGAACAAGAGAATGCTTTATTAAGCACTAATTTTCACAAATTCTTATTGCTCAATACTTTTTACTAATCGTTGAACTTTCGACTAAACTGACTATCCTGGCAATATTTGGTTGTATACAAAAGAAGTAATATATGCATAAAATTTGAAAAGGAAACACATATTCATATTAATGCTTAATTTTTAAAAATTTAAAAAATGCGAGGTCAATTTAACGCTCAAAATATAATTTTAAATTTATTTTTCATTGCGCCTTCAGAAGAATACGGTATTTGCATGAACGTAAAGAATGAAATTACAAACTAAGTTATTCTTTAGGATTAAACCAAGTGTTCTAAATAGTAAGCTTCTAAAAGTAATAGTTCTATTCACAACAGAGTAATATAGTAGCAACTAGAATAAGTTATTGTTCATCTGCACATGAACCTTGTTAACTTCTATTATCATATTTTTATACAATTTAGCACCTAAAAATTTGTGTAATTTTTACTACTTATTTCTGATCATCAATTAGATAAAGAGCATTAATATTGAATAGTAATAATATTCAAAGCAGTGGCAACTATATCGTTTTTATTTCAATCAGTAATAAAATTGTGGTATGTTCGCTGCATCACTCATAACCATCTTCTGTAAATTTATTTTCTTCATCTCAATCAATCATTTGTAATTATTTTCATCTATTTTGCAGAAATTTCACTCTACTCTACTAAAACTTTAAAACTCAAAGTTCTTCAACTTCATTTTAATTTATTTTCACGCAGTGTACTACTTTTTTTGTTCTATTTTCAATAATATCTTTTCATACTTTTTTTCGAATAACCTAAATGCAGCATATTTGATATCATACTTACTTCCAAGATCTGATGCATATATTTGAAAGCATTTATCTTATCTAGCACGTAATCATCTATCAAAAATACATTACGTTTTACTCATTCATGTTCATATGCTCTATTTTGAGCTAATGCCTTTCATTGCTACAATTTTTTTACTATTATCGTTGTGAACATTGTTTTTTCACATTTAAAGTCATTTTAATTTTATCAATCATACGTGAGTAATAAATTGTATAAGAATTGAGGGAAAAATAAAACAATATTAAAATAAAACATACAACTTTTACATGTTCAATTGCTTTATAAAGATTTGTTCAAATTTCAAATAACATATTTCAGTCTGAATATTTTTGAATAGCACTGATAAAATATTATATCATCGAATGTGATCAGTGATTAACCTGTTATATGTTACATTAGTCAAGCAATGAATTTATTAATGATTTAAATAAAATATATGAGATGAAATTTGCAATAAAATTAACAAATTGCATTAAACCGACTAGAGTATATATTTGTTCTGTTATATGCAATTGGATTTCTGTAAGTTGAGATAAAATGAAAGAGAAGAGAAACAATTTTAATCATTGTATAGATTATAAATCAGACCAATTTAATTTGATTTGCACATCTATTAACTAGTTATTTATTAAGTATGGCTTGAATCATGTCAATTACTTGTCTACACAAATCTTTAAAAAAAGTAATATACTTTTAAAGCTTGTGGCAATAAGTAGAGGCAGAAACAAAAGCAAAAGTGAAAACAAAAGTAGAATCAAGGAGCTAAGCATTTAAAAGATTCTATCTATGTCACAATATTCAAGATGATTCCGAGGTAGGTGAATGTTTCTATAATATTTTGATGCCTGTAACAGAAATCG